TGTCTTTCCTTTGAACATGACATTGATTCTCTTGCGATTGTAGAAGTAGCTGTAATGGATTTTTCATTAGAAATATGTCATTGGTGACAGTTTAATACTTAAATCTCAGTTGAAGGAATACAAATATCAATTCAATTTAGTCTCGTGTACTCTTTTTATTGTTATTATATTCCCCTTTTTCATATTGATACCGAATTCCAAGATGAATTAAATATGAGAATTTGTGTATTTGAAGTAATAAACTTCGAAGGATATAAAGTATAGTGAAAAATGTATTGATGTCAGAGGTTTAATTAGCGCTCACATTAAAAGTTGTACGGACCGTACGAATAGTTCGATACGAGCGTAAGGCAATCGTGGAAAATGTTCGATGCAGAGGAAAAGTAAATTGGCCAGACTTTGCTAATACCAGCTCGCAAACTGAGCAGTATGTCGGTTCCTAATAAGTCGTGGATCTTTTTTTTTCAACGATCAAAGGAGCGGACCAGTGCGCCTACGCGGAATCTCTCTGAAAGAACCGGCACGCTATATATTAGGTCAGTGTACATGAAATATTGTTTTTATCGATCGTTAAAACCATGCTCCGTTCAAGTTTAATATAAATTCCTCATCGAATTATTTTTCACGGTTATTTATTGAAATTAGATTTTTAAAAGGTGAATTAGAATTTTTCGAAGCTTGGAGAAATTAACGTTGAATATTCCACAAGATAACATCTTTCTTGTTTACAACACTTTTCTATACTTCGCTGGTGTCATTAATATTAATGTTTAAGAACAAGATTTGTATTATAGATTAGAAACAGAGAAAAATTGTTTTGATCGTACCGTTTGAATTACTGTAGAATAATTTACAAATGATTGGAAGTTGCCTGTTGCTAAAAATACCAAAATATCCTAGTTACAATAATTACTAAAGGACAAACATGTTTTACACGTTAATAACGTGAGTAATATAGAAAAGCTGGTTACAAATTAAGAGGAAGCAGTTTACCGAAACGTCAACGCACTTCAGTCGAATAAATTTCACAAAATAACCTTCACTCGTTCATCGCGTATCATTATTCAGGCACAAACCACACAATCACTCAATTAAATCAACTTTTCATTATCACTATAAATTCTCTCAGGACGACAGCTGAATATACTGCAGTTTTGACGCGTCTCACCGGGCTGTTAAGCTCGACACTTCCTGTCGGACACCTTCGCGTTCCGTGATTCCCAGCGTCGAAAGGAATCTTGTCCGACAGAGCGTAGAAATTTTGGGAACGCGGGCGGAAAGCGTTTAGAGGCCAACGTTTCGTTAGTTGTTCGATGATTTTACACGCGTCTTTCGCTGAATCATATTGCCCATTCACGACTCGATGCCCAGGCTGAGGAATGCAGGTCTAATTAGCCAGTTTTCATCTGTTCTCATCTCATTTGTGATTCTAGGTTAGTATTTGTCAGTATGGTTATAGGTAGCCAATTAAAATTATAAACGAAACACAACGAAAGAATCCTCTTATCCCTGTGTCATTCCGCTAGTTGTTAAGTCTTGGACGGATACTAAACCAACATTCTACGCATCTCAGACAAGAATGCTAGCAAAAGGAATGCGGGTCTAATTGGTCAGCTTTCATCCGTTCTTATTTAATTTTTGATTTTAGTTTGCTATTCGTCAATATGATTATACGTAACCAATCAAAACTACAAACAAGACACCCAGCAAGAGAATTCTCTTGCACCTGTGTCATCTCGCTAGTTGCCAAGTCGTACAGGCAGAGTAAAACCAAAGAATTATATGTCTCATAAGATAAGAATGCTAATAGAACGACGCAAAGGCAAGAGGTGTTTCTTGCTGGATGTTTTGTTTATAGTTTTGATTGGTTTCGTGTATTGACGAATAACACATGAGTATTGAAAATGATAAGAGGACAGATGAAAACTGACTCCTTCTTCAGAAAAGTGGTTTGCGTCAAAATATCGCAGCAGTGATTGTTCCGGAAGAACATTTCTATTTTTCCAAAAGAATCGTAGCTGCGACATTTTCCTGCAAGCCGAGTTCTGAAAGGAATGCATGTTCGTCAATACGGTTACACGTAACTAATTAAAACCATAAACAAAATCCATAGGAAAAGACCCCTCTTGTCCCTATGCTGTTCCGGAGCTGATCTTGCGAAGAATGCGGAGTAGGAAGATTACTTGATGTTTAGCGAGATGTACATACTCAAGAGGAGTATTCCCGTGCGTGTTTCGTCTATAGTTTTGATTGATAACGGGTAACCATATTGACAAATAAGAAGTTAGTATCATAAGGAAGATGAGAACTGATCGATTCGACCTACAATGAGTCGCAAGAGCATTCATACCTCTTGAACTGCCGACTTTGAAAGATTGATATTTATTTACAATGCAAGTTTCAACGTTCTTATCAACAGAAATATATGTTGGAACTACGAAGGTGTTGAACTTATGTAAACTTAATTGCAAAACAACATGTCAATATAACAAAAATGTAATTTTATGTAAACCGGAAGAAAATTGATCTCACAAGAGTATTCGTAACTATACAAGTTATACTAAAAATACAATTAATGTATTAATAGCTAATATTTGGTTGAACTTTCTCTGCATTTTATAATACTTTTGGGACGATCTAAATCATCAGGCTTGTGAGACCAATTTTGTTCCTGTTTACAAATACTTTTGTGATTCACTATACACCTCTCATCCTTCAACAAGCCTACTACAACAAGGTATCATAGTAGCAGTATTAGCTACGTTCTAAATTTCCATGCTAGAAATTCGTTTTCTTCTCCGTTCTTCTTTGTTTTCTTTTGAATTATAATTTCTAAACAACTTGTATTTTACTATTGTAATAGTATTCATCGTCTTATTACAGTGATATACGAACT